CTACTCTTTTGAAGCGCCAGTTAACATGGCAATTTAACGGCCATTTGGGTAAGAAAGGAATCAGTGGGCACATCAAAGTTTGTTATGAAGAGAAGACTCTTTCAATAGAGGTAAAAATGCCCCAAGATGCATCAAGCAGCAGTGTTCGTGACACACGAGGACTTTCAGGGGGAGAACGCTCTTTTTCAACTTTGTGCTTTGCACTTGCTCTTCATGAGATGACTGAAGCTCCATTTAGAGCAATGGATGAATTTGATGTATTTATGGATGCAGTTAGCAGAAAAATCAGCCTAGACGCTGTCGTGGATTTTGCATTGGCACAAGGATCACAGTGGATATTTATTACCCCTCATGACATCAGTATGGTGAAGCAGGATGAAAGAGTAAAGAAGCAGCAAATGGCGGCTCCTCGTTCCTGATTGCTTTTGTATTTTCTTTTTGTGAGATATGGTTATTTTTGGAGTTTTCAGGTTGGTATGATTATGAAAGAGGTTTTTGGTAGGGGTGTACATGGCTGGGTTTGTTTGAGTTTTTCAAATAACAAATCAAATTAATTGTGTCGGATTTTTAAATTTATAAATCAAACCAAACCAATAAAACTTGAGTTTTTTTTTTTTTAAAAAGAAAAATGTAAATCAAATAAAGCCTTATTAAATACGTCATTAGGTTCATATGTACCGCCATTAAATCATAATGAATTTCCACATTTGCCATAAAAGAGAGACACTTAATCTTAGTAGCTCAATGGATTCTGGATATTGACATGTATTACAAAATAAGTAATTCCACCATATTGCAAAATTCATAACATTTTCTACATTAAGCCAATTAATGGGGGCCAACTTCCATACTTGTGCTTTTGGGCAACTGAAAAACATATGATCAACCGTTTCAGTTTCTAAGCCACAGACCCTACAAACATCACAATTTTGATGCAATCTCTTAGAAATATTTGCACTAACAGGAAGGACATTAAGAATGCATTTTCTAAGGAAATGTTTGTATTTGTTTTTTATTTTAAGTGACCATAAGAAAGTCCAAAAAGATTTTGGGAAAGATTGACCACTGGCTTGAGGTTTTTCAGTTCTAGGGTCAGTACTATTAGCTAGGCTTTTCGCTAGATGATAACCAGATCTTACCTCGTACTTTCTTGAATTTGTATAATGCCAGATAACTTTATCAGAATTTCCAATGCTAGATATTGGGATAGACAAAATAGAGTTGATATCATTAGGGCAAAAATGGTGATGAAGATCTTGGATATTCCATGTATGATGGTGTTGATTTATAAGGTCGCTTACCCTCAACTGTGGATTTATTTGTGTATGTCCTTGTAGGGGTTTGAAACCGATCGAATTAGGAATCCAAGGATCACTCCAAACCTTAATGTTTTCTCCATCTCCTACTCTCCATCGAATTCCTTGTTGCAACAAATCTCGTCCCCACATAATACTTTTCCAAATCCAAGAACTTGTTGAGGGACATCCTGCACTTAAGAAAGAAGTATTCGGAAAATATTTACTTTTTAGCATCCTATGAAGCAAAGAGTCCTCTTGGGTTAAAATCCTCCACACAAGTTTTGCTAATAGGGCCTTGTTAAAAAGTTTCAGATCTCGAAAACCAAGGCCCCCTTGGGACTTTGCCTCACAAAGTTTCTGCCATTTTTCGTAGTGCATTTTCCTTTTCCCCTCATTTTCCCCCACCAAAATTCAAAAAAAATGGTAGTAATCTCCTTTCCTAAGTTATTTGGAAATTGAAAACATGATAATGCATATGAAGGAATAGAAGAAAGTATTGACTTAAGCATGACTTCTTTGCCTGCAGGGCTTAAAAAACTAGTCTTCCAATCCTTTATCTTCGTTTTAACTCGTTCTTTGATAAACTCAAGCATTTTCTTCTTTGATCTTCCAACTGCCGCAGGTAATACTAGATAAAGTCCCAAAATATCTCTATGTATTTGTCCTATCTCCGCTATAATATTATCTTTTTCTTCCTCTGTAGTATTTTTGCTAAAATATATTGCTGATTTTTCAAAATTAGCTTTCTGGCCTGAGAAAAATTCATAAGTTCTTAGAATTTCAGAAATTTTTACCGCACTTTGAGTATTAGCTGAACAAAATAAAAAGGAGTCATTAGCAAAGAAAAGATGATTTACCGTAGGACCTCCCCTTCTTAGGCTTATTCCACGTAACTCTCCTTGCTCCTCAGCTTGGTTCAAAAGCCTGGAAAGTCCTTCAGCACATAATATAAACAAATATGGGGATAAAGGGTCACCTTGTCTTAGTCCTCTACTAGGTCGTACATCCCCAACAATTTCACCATTTATATTAAACTTGTAAGTAGGTGTCGTGATACATTGCATAATCCAGCTAACGAATGTGTCATGGAAACCCATTTTCAAAAGTAAAGATTGGACATAGATCCATTCCACTCTATCGTAAGCTTTTGCCATGTCTAATTTTAAGGCCATAAATTTATCGTTCCCTCTCCTCTTATTTTTCAACACATGTATACACTCATAAGCCAAGACAACATTATCAACAATATGTCTACTCCCTACAAAGGCATATTGATTATGAGAGATTATACTAGGCAAATACTTTTTTAATCTTGCTCCGATAATCTTAGTTATAATTTTATATATGGTAGAGCACATGCTAATAGGTCTAAATTGACTAATAACACTAGGATTCTTTACTTTTGGGATTAAAGTAATAAGAGTTTGATTCCAAGAGGGTAAGATATCCTGAATGGAAGAAACTTTTAACAGCAGCTATAATGTCAGCTATAATGTCTGTAGATAAAACATTCCAATAATTCTGAAAGAAAAAAGGGGTCATTCCATCTATCCCTGGTGCCTTTAAAAGATGCATCTCAAAAACCGCATGTTTCACTTCCTCATTTGTCACTTCTCTAATAAGACTTTGGTTGATGGGATCTTCAACTAATCTCGGGATTAAGTTCAAAATGGGATCAAGATTTGTTGGTCTAGAGGTAGTAAATAAATTTTTATAATAATTTTCCACTTCTCTAATAATATCACCTTGTTCTGATACCCAATTTCCATTAGCTAGGCAAAAACCTTTGATGCTATTGCATTTTCGTCGCTGAATAGTTTTCATGTGAAAAAAGGAGGTATTTTTTATCCCCCTCTTGCAACCATAAAGCTCTAGATTTCTGTTTCCAGTATGCTTCTTCTTCTTTGTAAGCTTTACCTAATTCTTTTCTCAAAAGTTGAAGTTAAGGGAGGTCAAAGTGATCAAGATCTTTCTTAAGCTTATCAATTTGATTTTTGATCCCAATTATTCTTTGTTTTGAGTTCCCTTTACCCCTTCTCAGCCAAGACATTAATGAGGCGTGACATTTTTTTAGTTTTAAGCTTACTTTGGATTGTTCAAAGCCATCTACTTGTTCTTGCCAAGACGTTGTCACTAAATTATTCACTGCATCCTTTTCACTCCATCTTTTATCAAAATAGAAGCGTCGCTTTTTTCTTATAGGCTTAGGATCGATATTTAGTAAAAGAGCAGAGTGATCTGAAGCCCCACTATTCAAATGAATTATTTGGGCCAAAGGGAATTCTAAACGCCATCCGGGAGATACAATGGCTCGATCTAATCTCTCTTGGATAATTCCATCATTCTCCCTGAAACACCACCAAGTCCAAGGCTTCCCTTTAAATCCTAAATCAACTGCCCCTAAGTTCCACAAGAAATTCTTAAAGTCTTTAAAAGAAGCTACTTCTCTACTTCTACCTCCTACCTTTTCCGAGTTGTCCATAATATCATTAAAATCTCCAACAATGATCCAGAGGACCCCAATTAGCCGATTTTAACGTTAGTTCTGTTAGTTGTGCTCTACGAATAGCTCTATCAGTGCTCAAATACACAAAGATGCACCAATATTTAGAATCAGTTGAGAGGTCATGCACCAAAGTTTCAACATAAAAATGTGAAGTGTGAGATTGACAAACCTGAACTTTATCATTCCAAAATAAGCACAAGCCTCCAGATAAACCAACAGGGTCCACAATTGTAGCATAAGGCATACTAAGTTGCCTTTGAACTCGCTTAACAATAATATCCTTATTTTTGGTTTCACTAAGAAAAATTATATCTGGGGAGTGGAGATGCATAGTCTCCTTCAAAAAAGGAATTGTCAAGGACCCCCCAGGCCTCAACAATTCCATACCATAGCTCTCATTGTGGAGAGAGAAGCCATTTGGGGATGGCCTCCCGCTCCACCACAATTTTATTTCTTTTTTGTTTGTATACCATAAAGTAACTCATTATCACCTTTTCGTTTCTCCCTTATCTATTGCATACATTCTGCTAAAACAGCACCCTCATCAAGAGTTGCATTAGAAGTATCATTCTTCAAACTAAGAGAACATCCAACTTGTCTTGCCATTTGTTTCCAATTTCTCGTTTTCCTCCCCTCATTGTTATTATCTTTCATTTGTTTAGATAGATTATTTTGTTCTGTTATAGGTTCACATGATAATACTTGAGACGAGTCTTTACTACTATATAAATAAGATTAGTAGTACATACCTGGTTCGGGTCTTCTGGTTCAGTAGTTGTTTTGGTGTGGATTCCCATCTTTTCAGGAGCTGTGAGAACTTGATGTATGTTGTCTTGCACTTCCTTCGAGTTAATCTGCGTAATATCATCATTTCCCCTTATTGTGCCGTCAAACATATTCTCGTTAGCTGAAGTTTGTGAACTCATGTCATTCTTCTTCGAAGCCATATTCAAAACCTGTTTTGAGATTGTTGTAATCCCAACATAATTATCTTCTCCAGCATTATCTCTTCCACCACCAAATTCTTTTTCATGTGATCCATAATTTGTTACCTCCATAGGCTGCATGGTTTAAGTCCTCCCTGTTTAGTTCATTGTTGTCCTTCCTGCTCAAACCCATAATTTCCTTCCCTTTTGGTTCATTTTGACCCTGTGTATGAACTACTTCAGCACCTTTGTCCAAGTGTTGCAAACTGTTTACAATTCTTTCGACTCTTCTCCATTAGTACTGTTTGTCCCTTGTCGCCTACGCTTTTCCGAGAGAGGAGCATGGTTCTCTGCTTTTAGCCAAATCCCGAACTGATCAGTTTTAACAGTGCCATCCTGTACATCCTTGGCTCTGTGGGCACATGTTTTCTCATTATGTCCTAGCAGACCACAATAATAGGCAGATTTTCATATCTTATTTCAACCCACGTAGTTTCCGATCCTAACTTGATCAACTTACCCCTAGGTAGTGGCTTAGTTATATTCATCCTGGCTTTCAGCCTTATATATTGTCCCTCTTTGCTTCCATTTTCAGGGATTACAATATCCACGATACCTCCTAACGCATTTCCAATTTTGCTCCCAACGTCCATTGACATCCAGTGTAAAGGGATGTTCCAAACTTGAACCCATAACTCACATACATTAAAAGTTGAAGAGTACTCTTCAATCCTGGTTCCCAGGTATGTATATTAAGGAGGCATTTATCATACAACCATGGTGTGCCAAATAATACTTCATTCATACTTTCTTCATCTTTGAATTTGAACTGGAAGCCAACAGCTAATTAAAATGCAGAATTTAAATCCAAAAAATCACAGCTATAACCCAATAAATAGCAGCTAAAATGCATAATAGTATAGGCAAAAAGTACACCATCATATAAGGATGGAATGCTTTTCATTTAAACATCAGTTTAAAGCCTTACATAGCAGATTTCTTCTGTATTTCAAAACCAAACTAACTTTAGAACTGTACTAAAAAATACTATACATTTGGTAGAAGAACAAGCAGACTAGCTACCCTTTGCTCTTCATACATGATTCGACGGCTTAGATTCAACAATGAATTGTGGTCCAATCTTAACTCGGAAATGACGAATCCCCACTCATCGGTTCAAAAAATGAGGGCATTTTTGAACCATTTCCAATATGTCTATGGATTTGACTCTGCTACTAAATTCTCATACATATCACTTCCAACTCATCAGTCTATCATTATAAAAAAAAACGGATCAATAATGGCAGATGTTAAAATATTTTTTTGGGAAACTGCTGTAATTGTAATATCACCGCCGCAATCACTAAAACGACTGTTTTAAACCGCCACAATATAAGTTCAAAAGCTTAATTATTTGCTCTCCAATAGTATTGACACAAACATACCAGAAAGATTACTGAAACAAACCATTCATCATTTGATTGATTGCAAAATTACGTAAGGAGTAATGTTTTGCATTCATATTTTAAGGAGTAATGTTTACATCCATTTTGAAGAAATTAACCATATCACATTATAGAAATAATATTCGATGAGGACTCGCGTGATCTACGTCGGCAAGATTCATCTGGTGAATTTTTTGGCTCTTAAGTGAGAATGTACCCTTTCGAAGATGCTACGAGGATGAGTGGCACAAACTCTCTTCACAGTAAGTGTCATAAGTGTACTGAATCTTGCAAGAGCTTCTCCATGGTGAATAACTCCGTTGAGATTTGAGGTAAACTCAAATGAGACAATAGAGTGGGGGGGGCAAGCTCGACCTTCACTACTCTGATCACCAAATCCATGTATGCATGAGACTAATCAGGAGGCGTAAAGACAACGTCAACAACAACAAATACTACTACTACTCAAGTGACATGACATAATATTTGCCAGACTAGGAGTAATCTAAAACTACCTGATTCGGACTAGGGTGCCAGGCACACTGCACAACACTGTGGGCAGTGGCGGATCCAGGATTTAGAGTCTGTGGGTGCCAAATAGACTTATCGATTAAATTAATTTTATATTTGATTGAATTATTCGTCTTTTCGATATATATCATAAATCAATCAATAAAATATAAATAATAAGATATTTCACTTTTATTGAGTATTTAATCAAATAAAAGAAAAGTCAAAGGAGTAATAATGTAATTAATTTAATTTAAGTCAATAACAATTATAAAAAATAAATAAAATTGTGCCAGCTGTTTTTCCTTAAAAAAAACGTGCTTGAAGCCTTTTTTTTTTCTTAAAAAACGTATGCAGCAAATTTCTCAAAAAAATAGGTACAAATGGGATTCGAATCCCGCAACATCAGCCTTCTAAAGTTGTCCTCCTACCGTGGCACCACAAGCCAGTTTTGTTCTGTGGGTGACACGCTTTATATTTATATAAATATTATATATATATACCTATGTATATATAGAGTTTCCGTCGAAGTTCGGGGGTGGCGTGGCACCTCCACAGCCCTTCATAGATCCGCCACTGACTGTGGGTGTGTTTGGTATGAAGAAATGTTTTTCAATTTTCTCATGTTTGGTTGGTTTAAATGTTTTTCAAATCAAGTCATTTTCCTCAAATTTAAGGAAAATGATGAGGAAAATAACTTTCCTTCAAAACTTAAGAAAAACATTTTCCAAAACTCTCTTCCAACTTCAAATTACAATTATATTTTTGTTGAAAAAATAAAATAAAATTTTAAAGCCTGTTTTTAAATTCAATTTTTTTACCCCATCCTCACCACTACCCTCACCCCCTCCCAAAAAATTATTAAAAATTGTTTTTAAAAGATATTTCTAATTTCAATTTTTTATTTTTTTACCCCCACCCACTACCCTCACCCCACTATCAGCCCCCCAACCCCCTTCAAAAAGAAAAAAAATTAAGTTTATTTTTAAAAAATATTTTCAATTTCACATTATTTTTTTTCGTCTCGATCCTTGATCACCCAC